GCATTGTGCATCTGGGCGCATGATCAATCCAAGTTCTGCATTGGCCATGAGGCATTTATCGTGATATGGCCTCAACAGAAGTCAGGGCATTCATACTTCTTGCGCTTCGCAGAGCAGTGCAGAGCTGTTGTCAAGGAAGTGAGTTTGTATTTATACAGGATGTACCCACCCACCTACTGTCAACCAATCATGTCAACGCGGAGCTATACTGAGCCCTCCGCATTGTTACAACATTTGGGAGGCGCATGGCGATGTGGTATCGAGCTCGATTTGGCGGCTCCGCATTTGCGTCACACCCTCCATATTGAGCCTCCGACCACATTTTCGGATCAAGCATAAATTGGCTTTTAGTCTAGGCCTCCACAATGTATTAGTTCACTGAGATGGGCGCAAATATATGTATATGTATTTGTTACTGCCCGACTAAAACAATCTCGGTCGACCAACAGCCTAACGACCAAACAATCGACCAGTCGACTAATTGGGATCAGCCCTAGTGGAGAGGTAGGGGAGATTAACAAATGCTAAGAAATCTCTTCTTTCTGGCTTTCAACTTACTCTTGAAAGTTGTAATAGTATAATACACAAGGTGTCATTTCGAAATTGGGTAGTGCATCAGGCGTTTTCCTCTTGTCATGTCATTCATTGCAGACCTTAGAAATTAGAAATGTCCATTTGATCAACTAGCCCATGTCAGCTAATGTTTTAGCTCGGTTTTTAGCCCATTGGGTTTGATGCGATGTTTGAGTCACTCAGATATTACATATACATACAAAACATGGCAAAATGTGTAGAATTGTGCAGGATGATCCCCAATGATGAAAAAAACGTTTGGGAAACACTGCATTAGAGAGTGTTGTGATGTTGAGTCATGTGGTCCACCCAGCCTTAATTGTGTGTTGGCCGTACTGTATGTTTCACATGTCATTGTTGGAGTGACGTGGAAGCGAATTGTTTTGCAAGCAGCCCTCTGCTCATAATAATAATAATAATAATAATAATAATAATAATAATAATAATAATAATAATGCTAGTAAGTGTGTGTTTGAAAAGTGTGTGTGTGTGTGTGTACTTGCAGCGCATACATGCATGTGTACCCATGTGTGTGTGTGTGTGTTCTGCTCAGGCCAGGGCTATGGAAGTAAACAGGCTCATTAAGAGGCAATTGTTCACAGCTGAGTACCCTGAGCCGAAGCCTGAGTGGTGTGGAGCAACGCCACACCACGGGGACGCCGTGGCCACCACACACAGGGAAATGAATGGAGACTCCAGGGGAGGAAGGGAGGGGTGCAACACTGGGACTCCAGCTTGTTACTATCTCTGCTGCTGCTGCTCCAGCCACTCAGGTGTATGCCCAACACCCCCTTTCTTCCCCTTCTCCTCTGCTCTTCAGAACACCTTCACTGACATATGGTTCCCCCTTGGCGCACCACAGTTGGATCCAGCTCTCCTTTTGCCTCAGGGCTGTTATGTGCTTGAGTGAAGGACTACAGTACTAATGTGTGTTTTCTGTTCACTGGGAACATGAACTACAGGGAGTTCTGTCTCATTATTGACCCAGCTAAAGAGATACAATAAGTTATATTGAATTCTGTAGACCCAGCACGCTCAATATGGGTGCCGTTTGGCCTGGTTTAGAAGCCATGATCAGGGGCCTTGCATTCCGTATGCTCTACACTGCTTCATAGTGGTGAGAGCTCCTCACTACCAAGAGAACTGTAGACAGTGGGGTAGGATGATGTTTCCCAGACTGACACAGATCTTAGGTCCGTTTTATGCCCCACCCACCCTAATGGTTAAGGTTAGGATTGGGTGAGGGTTAGCTGATCCTAATTCAGTGCTTACGGGCAACATCTAGCCAAGGTGACAAGGGTTAGCTTTACATTTTATTTAGGCCTACAGGCAGTGACCAAGGATCAATTCTACTCCATAGCTTACTGTAAAAGTACTATAGTCCTATTATAAGAGCAGCCATCCAACCTAGTGGACAAAGGTGATCTTTGTAAAAACCTTCATGTCACAGTGAGCCAGGCAGTGTGCCCCAGGCTAGCCCTGGGTGACAGCTGTGATGCTCCATTGGCTTAGCTAAATGTCAAAAGCCCTGTTGGACGAGGTGGGTTTTAACACAGTGATCCTAGAGCCACAAGAGAAGGGAACACTGGGCCAACACTGGGCCAACGCTGGGCCAACCTTTAGCATTCAACTAGTTACAGTGAAATGAAGGTTCTGGTTATGATGAAAGAAGGTTATGTTTATGATGCCTGTGCGTTGTTAGCCTGCAGGCTATTTATTTTCTATGGATGGTGTTTTTTCACCATCTGTTTTATTGGTTAGGAGAGATGTAAATGCGGGGTTATGTCTGCCAGGGTGATAGCGTTTTAAATGCTTTCAACATATGACTTTCATCTGCTGAGAACCTGAAATAAGGTTAAAGAGTTTCATCATAAGATGTAAGTCTTAATAAGGTTTTACATCAGCGACAAAGTCCTTAGTCATTGTTGAGCTGCCAAGGGGCTCGATTCAATCCGTAGCACAGAACATCTGCGTTGTAGTGCTGTTCACATTTAAAGGTCATATCCAATTGAGCCAACATATGCAGCGTTTACCTTGAACGCAATCTCCACGACCGTGGGAACATTGCCTTTAATTGTCAATCGCTCTATCAAGCAGATCTTCAGCGCTACAGATTGAATTGAGCCCTAAAGCTGTTACATGCTTTAGATTGTCTCTGTAGTCACAAGTGGAGGATTAAAAAGGTTATGAGAAGAAGAGATTATTTGTGTTCCTTTATATTGTATGTGTGTGCGTGTGTGAGCAGAGCATCAGCTGACAAATAGATTCTGCTGTAAACAAAAATACTCCTGCTGGAACCACAAATGTCGCCTTAGAGGCGAACACATGATGTAATACATGGGGAAAGCAGCAGTGACACGTGCACGCGCACACACAGAAACGGACAATTTTTTAGCTTTATAGCTGGAGAGAAAAATGGTCAACTGAATCGAATGTGTTCGATCCTGCTGCGTCTACAGTATATTGATCTTGATGGAAATTCTCTTTCTTTCTCTTCCCCTCTATCTCTTCCTCTCTCCCTTTCTCTGCTGCCCTTGGCTGAACTAAATTAATCTATGCTGTTTTGGTAACACAGGAAAAAAAGATATCTGGGAACATTTGAGCAAATAGGACATCCACATTACTGACTGTTGTTCTTAGAATTTTGTGACTGCATTGATCAATTCTCACTCTAATAAAATGTGTTAAATTATTATACCTTATGAAGATGTCCATTTAGATGTGCTATTATACTATATGCTTTGATTATAATGTTCTCCATCGTAGTCAGAGAAAGTTGTGATGTAGTACTGTAGCTCTCCACCAGGTGTCCCTAGTGTGATAAGGAATACTGTACTTTCTGTGTGTATCTGCAGCAGCTCACGTGCAGACAACACAAGCCCCAATTTATTTTTTGCCATATAGGATCTGTTCACGTGGTGAATGAGAGGGGACGTATCTGTAGCAGTGTCCCTGTCACCTGTCCAAGGCCAAGCCCCTCTGTGACACACAAAACCTGACCGGTTCAAACCAGCAGGCCAGCCTCCCTCGCTCTGATACAGCAACATTAGTCACACAGCCAGCACACACAGAATAACAATCAGCACAGAAACATGCACCCAGAATACACACTCGCATATAAATGGTGCACATACTGCACACAAACACACAAACACACACTCAGGCAAGCACATGCTGTGCCATGTAGTTACTGTAGGGTCGGTCTTCAATGCTCCTCTTCCCTCTCTGGTTTAACGAGCACACGCCATTATTATGACATCAGTTCACGGTCTGTTTCAGCTGTAAGCCTTGACATATACCTGTGTCAGAGCCATGGAACTACCTACTTCATAATTGACCATCCAGCGGTTCACATCCTAGTGTCAATGCCGTTTTTCAAACTCCAGGTGGTGCTATGGTCAGATGACATGAAAATAGAGCTCTTTGGCCACGCACACCAATGGTGGGTTTGACGTCGAAAAAACGGAAGCATATGCAGAAAAGTACTTCATACCTATGGTAAAATATGGTGGTGGATCTTTCATTTTATGGGGCTATTTTGTTTCCACTGGTCCTGTGACCCTTGTTAAGGTCAATGGCATCATGAACTTTACCAAGTACCATGACATTTTAGCCAAAAACCTGGTTGCCTCTGCCAGGAGGCTGGCAGTTGGCCGCAAGTGGATCTTCCAGCAAGACAATAACCCCAAGCTCACATCAACATCCACAAATAAATGGTTAATTGACCACTAAATCAACATTTTGCAATGGCCATCTCAGTCTCTGGACTTGAACCCCATTGAAAACCTTTGGTTTGAATTGAAGAGGACAGTCCATAAGCGCAGACGAAGTATATCAAGGAAGTATATCAAGAATCTGGAAAGATTCTGTATGGAGGAATGGTCTAAGATCCCTCCCAATGTGTTCTCTAATCTCATTAAACATTTTAGAAAAAGGCACAGTGTCGTTATCCTCACAAGGGAGGGGTGCTGGAGCACTGAAAAAAGGGGGTGCCAATAATCTTGACCCCTATCTTTTTTAGTTTTTTTAAATTACTTGTTAAATAAAATCTCTTTCTCTGAGCAATTATATTAGTACAATATAGCTCAGTATTTGTATTATTTATTATATAGAGCCATCTTTGCTCATCTTTATCAAGGATGCCAATAATTTTGGACCTGAATGTACCTGTTTCAGAACCATGTAAATACCTATTTCATAAACTTAAACTTGATAGCGTCTGTACGCTTAAAGGAAAGACTTCAGGCCTCAGACAATTCCCAACCAAGCATTTAATCTAACACGCAACACCGCAACAGATATTTTTGAGGTTTATGTCCAGTTTACTGAGAGATGCATAAACAGTGCTGCCGTACAGTATATAATTGTGATTGATTTAATCTGATTGATGATGCTAATGCTATTGCTCTGTGTTGTGTTTCCCTTACAGTAAAGTGGAGACAGCAGCCATTGAGACAGAGCTGCTGAGGGACTACAGGTTTGGCCAACAGCAGCTCATAGAGATCTGGGGGCACGCCTGTGCCATTGCCATCACCAAGGTATGTACCCCTTATCCCCATCTTCCCTCTCCAATAATCACTTTTTTTGGGACCATTCATCCATCAATCCCTCCATTCATCCATCCATCCCTCTCTCCCTTCCCCAGGCTCTGATGCTGTTCCACCTAATAGTATTTTAAAACCATGCAACTTTCTAAGAGCTGGTGACATAGGAACTGTGAATAGAGATTTAGGGAACACACAGGGACTGTTATGTTCTCTGTATTCTTGCAAAAATAGTGAGTTTGGGTGTTTATTTACAGTTGTGGGAGTACTGTCCCCCTCAGCAATGCGGTGTCTCTGCTCCATAAACCCTGAGACACATCAGAGCCTCTGTTTCACTATCTGGCCTGATTGCCTGATGAGAGACTGATCTGCTCAGCTGGGAGCCAGTCTGGCAAGTCCACCTGACCCTTATCAGACCCCTATGTGTTCGTTTGTGTGTGTGTGTGTGTTAGCACGTGTATGTGTCTGCTTATGTATAATGTGTCCGCTTTTAGCTTGTGTGTGTGTTCGTCTGGTTGTGTGTGTGTGTTCGCCTCTGTGTGTAATATGTATGTGTGGTGAGCCTGTAGTCAGCGGCAGTAACAGCAGTGTCTAGAGTGTTTCTCTGTGGCGCTGTCAGGAACACACGCGGTTCCTTTGACCAGAGAGTCGGTTGGTTTAACCCTGCGGTCGTTTGCTCCACGGGCACCCAGTGTGGTGTGATAAATGTTCCCTGAGCTTCCAGACATATGAGACACTTTCCTGTCCGAGAGGGAGAGAGAGAAAGTCTGATTACCTCAACCACATCCACCTACCACCATTATCACCAGCAGCCAATGGTCCATGGCCAGAGCGGACACAGCCACATCACATACCGTAGCTAGACAAACAGCGCCTGGCTCGGCCCGGATCGGCCTGGGGCTTCTGCACCCACATGCATGACATCACTGTTATTCAAGGAAAGTGCAGTAGTAGGGCTTTGTGATTTCACTGCAGTCTGTGCAGTTGCCAGATAGATTAATTTCTCACCAAGTAATCCCCCCTATACGTCCAAAGACATCCAATCCCCCCGGCAGCAACCACACGGGCCATGACGGGTCCATCTCATGGGTGTTCCTCTGTGATCTGGGCTGAAGTGCGTGCGGAGCGGCGCCTGCGTTCAGCCTGGGTTGGGATAGCAGGCAGAAGCCTTTCAACACCTGGGGAGACAAAGAATGTTCTGCTTCCACGGAGCAGTAAACGCTGGAGTCTGTTGTCCCTGGGTCCCTGTTCTGTCTACTCAGGATGTGTTCAATATGTCAACGTGTCCGTCGTAAAACACATTCATTATCCTGCGCAGCTTTCATTAATAGTGTGTGGCCGCATTTATACGTTTGTGTGTGTGTTTGTGTGTGTATGTGTGTACAGTGCATTTGGAAAGTATTCAGACCCCTTTACTATTTCCACATTTTGTTACGTTAAAGCCTTTTTCTTAAATTGATAAAAAACATTAAAAAAATTATCCCTCATCAATACCCCATAATGACAAAGCAAAAACAGGTTTTTAGAAAATTCTGCAAATGTATAATTTTTTAAAAACGGAAATATCACATTTACATAAGTATACTTTCCGAATGCACTGTATATCCATCTGTATTTTCTTTACACTTTATCATTTTTACACATAATTCCTATTTTTATTTAAATAACTAATTGTGATATTTGTTATACAAATAAATAAAACATAATTAGCATAGGCTGCTGGAATTTATACTATTTAAGACTATACCTGAAATCACGGTACTACTGAACAAAAATATAAACGCAACATGCAACAATTTCAACGATTTGACTGAGTTACAGTTCATATCAGGAAATTAGTCAATTCAAATAAATTCATTAGGCCCTAATCTATGGTTGTCAAATGACTGGGCAGGGGCACAGCCAATCAGAATGAGTTTTTCCCCACAAAAGGGCTTTATTACAGCCAGAAATACTCCTCAGTTTCATCAGCAGTCTGGGTGGCTGGTCTCAGACGATCCCGCAGGTGAAGAAGCCGGACTGGCGTGGTTATATGTGGTCTGCGGTTGTGCGCCAGTTGGACGTACTGCCAAATTCTCTAAAACAACGTTGGAGGCGGCTTATGGTAGAGAAATTAACATTCAATTCTCTGGCAACAGCTCTGGTGGACATTCCTGCAGGCAGCAGGCCAATTGCACGCTCCCTCAAAACTTGAAACATCTGTGGCGTTGTGTGACAAAACTGCACATTTTAGAGTGGCCTTTTATTGTCCCCAGCACAAGGTGCACCTGTGTAATGATCATGCTGTTTAATCAGCTTCTTGATATGCCACACCGGTCAGGTGGATGGATTATCTTGGCAAATGAGAAATGCTCACTAACAGAGATGTAAACAATAAGCTTTTTGTGCATATGGAACATTTCTGGGATCTTTCATTTCAGCTCATGAAACATGGGACCAACATTTCACATGTTGTGTTTATATTTTTGTTCAGTATATATCTTTGAGAGGGCCAAGGGAGACATATCTGGAGTGTGCGCGTGTGTATTTCATATACATAGACACACTGGGGTGGCCTCCCTCACACAGACCCCGCCAAAAAAGCATCCCCAGTGGAAATTCTCCATTGAGGTTGCCTCCCGTATGTACACTACCGGTTAAAAGTTTTAAAACACCTACTCATTCAAGGGTTTTTCTTTATTTTTACTATTTTCTACATTGTAGAATAATAGTGAAGACATCAGAACTATGAAATAACACATATGGAATCATGTAGTAACCAAAAAAGTGTTAAACAAATCAAAATATATTTGATATTTGAGATTCTTCAAATAGCCACCCTTTGCCTTGATGGCAGCTTTGCACACTCTTGGCATGCTCCTGTGTGTACTGTGTGTGTGTGTGTGTGTGAGGATAGGACTGAGGAGCCTGGCATGAGCTGACGTATCAGCATTCCTCCAGATAGAAGCCATGAGCAGGGCAGAAGGGCCCTGCTGATAAACAGAGGAGCCAAACCCAGACCAGGGCATCCTGCTCCTCTAAAACTAGGTTGTTCTGTTTCCCACTGGATGTGTATTATCGACATTGACTCTTTAATCACTCTGTTATTGCAAAACTCCTAAAACAAGGCAAGATAAGAGGAGACAGTTAGGATGCTGCTATAAAAGGCACTCAGATTTCCCACTGCACAGTATGTTCATATTGAATGCCACTTCCACTCCTATCAAAGATGGCTGGTCATTATATGGCGCTAATTAGCGTTAGCATTTACCTCACGGGAACAGGTCAGAGAGGGTGTCATCACATCAACGCAGTGAGATACACACATCAAACCCTGTTGCACAGAGGGAGACACACCACGAGAGACACCAGGAAACTGTTTCAGCCACTCAGATAAGAAAATGGAGCCTATCTCTCGCTTCCGCCTCATGGGCCCGAGCTGTCATTACCATCCTTCTTCCATCTAATTTACAGTGTATCTGCTCCAGGACAGAACATTTATGTTAGAGATAATGGCTGCTGTCTCCCCTCTCCCAGCATCATTACTGTAATGAATGCTTTCATGTCTGTATTAATTGAATACTGCAATTAGAGTACGGCTCCATTTGTTGCACGGTAATGTACCCCTCCATTTAGAGTTCCGGTTATAGCGGCCATATTAAAAGTAGTCTATGCAATACGCTGGGTTCGGCTACACATTTGTTTGGGTAAAGGCGTTGTGGGGTGAGGTGAGACACCCTTGGCTGTGATGTCGCTAGTAGCTAGCAACACTAGCTACATGATTCACTCCCCCACTGGTTTGTGGGCTCCCGAGTGGCGCAGCGGTCTAAGAATTTGTTCTTAACTGACTTGCCTAGTTAAATAAAGGTTAAATATTTTTTTTTTAAATGTGTGAAGCAGAGGAGGCTGGTGGGAGGAGCTATAGGAGGATGGGCTCATTATAATGGCTGGAATTGAATAAATGGAACGGTATTGAACACATCAAACATATAGAAACCACATGTTTGACTCCATTCCATTTATTCCATTCCAGCCATTACAATGAGCCTGTCCTCCTATAGCTCCTCCCACCAGCCTCCACTGGTGTGAGGAGGAAGATTAGACAACTTAAGTCAACACGAAAGTGGCGGAGACCTGCTGCCTCATTTAAGGACGTGTGAGGGGATTTACTGGGGTATGTGCTGTGCCCTTGTAAAACAGAGAGGTGGAGATGCCAGTGGCCTAGTGGGGAAACTCATGGCTCAGTAGTGTGTTATTTAAAGGGAGAATCCTGTGGCGTCCGGCTCTTGTATTGTTTCCATTCCTGTCAGGGTTATTTTAATGAGTTTGGGGCTTTTTGTCTTTAAAAAAAGACCTGGGTGCCATTTCCCCTGGCCATAGCATGGCCTCCCTGGCACGCGAAGGAGAGAGTCTGACAGTGATGGAGGGTCAGCCTCGCGGATAGAATGACCTGTACCCTGGACAATGAGTCTGCTAGGCTAACTGGTGATGTCTCTGTCTCACTCTCTGCCTCCCTCCCTCCATCCCTCACTCACTCACTCACACTCACGTCCCTCCAGGCCTTTCCTCTGACCTCCCTGGCTAAGAAGCAGCCGACAGTGTTGGTGGTCTGTGGTCCTGACCAGAATGGCTCCATCGGCCTGGTGTGTGCCCGCCACCTGCGCATATTTGTAAGTATACCACAGTAGACTGCACCCGCCATGCACCCGCCAGCCATCACACATACATGGCCATGTGGACAGAATCAGACAATGGTTAGAAATTAAGAAATGGTTCACTGGGTTTAATTGCAGTCTAGAGTAGATGGGGCCCCCTCTGTGTTTAGGAGATTTTCATTTAAACTCCTGTAAATCATGATTAATTGATCCATTACGGGATTGAAAATGTCGATGACATCACTTCATTGTTACCCTCATTAAATACCATTACCCTCGTTAAATACTGTCTGGTTACTGTTGGCAGTGGTAATGTAACATGATGTCATGCTGGTGATGTCATGACTTTGGTCACATTAGTTTGCATGATGGTGGATAATGCTGTTCTGTGGTGTAAATGCATTAATTGCAATATTACAGACAATTACACTCACTAAAAACAATCAGAATAAGGATTTACAAGTGATATAGTGAGGCAAGTCTACTATCTTTATTCTATGTGGTGGAAACCATAGATGTGGTTTGGTTTCCCTGCCTTGGAAAGGAATGTATATATATAACTTCACCATATGTGTCTGAGATGCCAGATTTATGGAGCATCGATATCTCTGATTAAAACCATGTTGACAGAATCTGTTAAAGTTGTAAGATGACTGTCTGTGAAGCTTTCGGGGCAGCGACTGGGCCTGGGGTCAACACACAGATATATTTTACAGCAGGATTCCAGGAATGCATAAAGCACTTCCACATAACTTTGATCCAAAGAAAACTAATCATCAGTCGATGAATTCCTGACTGTGGCATTACTCTTATTCCTTGCAGGAGTTGCTAGTTCAGGTCTTAAAGAGGCAGTGCACCGCAGCAGATGAGACCACAGTCTTTAGCTCTGATCTGGGAACTGTAGATTAGATTAAACAGAGAGTAGCTGACTATTTAGCCCCAAAGCAAATTAGCTAAGCCAGACTGATTTGCACTGCGGTCCTAGGCTGGCCATCCGTGTTCACCAAGCTAGCATGTGTCTCAGTGTGTTTGGCATGCATTCTTGGTTCTTTCCACTGTTAAATGCCAAACCAAAATATTGCATATGGAAAAGACAAATAGTCCAAGAGTCAAAGTTAATCTTTGTCAGATTCTGTCTGAATATGATTCATTATGACTGTGAACGTTAGTCCAGCTTGTTGTTCACGCAAGGGAGGATGCACATGATGTTCCACAGTTCTTTCAGAATATTATGTGGTTATTTTATGTTTCTAGTGAAGAAAAAACACCTTGGCCTCAACGTCTGAAAGAATGAAGTTGTTTATCACATGACACATGATTCCCCGAGATTCGACAATGTGGCCTTTGTTTTCCATTTGACAAAACCACGTGAATCTCAATGGACTGTGACTAAAGGGAAGACGCTCCTTTATGGCCAACCCAGAATGCTAGCCTTCAGGGAGAGGAAGTTCAATACCGGGAATGCTTAACATCAACAGGAAAAGGCTTGTGGCCTTTCTGTAACCTGTAGTCATAGTCCTCATGCCTAATTTCTCCTGTATTCCTGCTCCATGACGCTTATTGACGCTAGAGAGCATCCTGATGGTGCCTCCGTCCCTGAGGTTCGTCTGTCTGACGTGATGATGTAACCTCTTCTAGGTCGGGGCACTAGGGGTCACAGAGGAGTCGCTGCCACCCCAGAGGGACATCTCTCTCTGGGTACTTTAGCTGCGGCTATGAAAGATGACGTCAGTCGCCCGTTCCCCGCCCCGTTCTGCCTGTCTGTCTATGCAGCCCTGATCTACTATACACAGACAGACCAGAGGGAGGGCAGGAAAACAGCAATGTACATCCTCTCATAAATGTTCTCCTTGTTAGAGGGCATGTATTAATTGCTATACTTCCTTTTGATATGCTTACAGTAACTTTCCTCTGACTCTCTGTTATTCTCTCTCTCTCCTCTCTCGCTCTTCCTCCCCCTATTTCTCCCCTCTCGCTCTCGCCTCTCTCCTTCCTTCCAAAAGGAGTACGAGCCCACCATCTACTATCCCAAACGCACTCCTAACACCATTCATCAGGACTTCACAGTTCAGTGTGAGAAGATGGACATCCCATTCCTCTCCTATCTCCCAACAGAGGTGAGCAACATCAAAAAGGACTATAAGACATTTATAGACACATTCATCCTTGAATTAAGCTTGACATTTGCAAGCGGAACTGATTTATGCAAGTGCACCATGAGTTGAGCACCTGCATCTCACTGTAGGATTTGGCCCCAGCTGAGCTTGCTGGAGCTGTGAACACAATGTAGAGCTCTTTTCTAGAGATTGATCAGAGTTTGGGTTGTGGTTGTGTGTTCAGGTGCAGCTGATCAACGATGCCTATAACCTGGTGATCGATGCCATCCTCGGGCCAGAGACTGACCACACAGACGTGAAGGAGCCCTATGCTGGCATCCTAGTCACCCTCAAGCAGGTCAAGATCCCCATCGCCAGTGTGGACATGCCCTCAGGTAAGGCTGAGAGCTACAGTGCCTTGTAAAAGTATTCAGATCCCTTGGATTTTATCACATTTTATTGTGTTACAAAGTGGGATTGAAATAGATTTAATTTTCTTTTTTGTTAAAGAAAAATACACAAAACACTCTGTAATATCAAAGTGGAAGAACATTTTAATTTGATTTTTGATAGGAAAAAAATCACAACTAAAATATAGTCATTGCATAAGTATTCAGCCCCTTAGTGTAGGCAAGCCTAAATTAGTTAATGAGTAAAATTTGACTTAACAAATCACATAATAAGTTACTGTGAGAAATAATAGGGGATGACACGATTTTTGAATGACTAACCCTTCCTCTGTCCCCCATACATACATCTGTAAGGTCCCTCAGTCGAGTATTGAATTTCAAGCACAGATTCAACTATAAAGACCAGGGAACTTTTCAAAATCCTCATGAAGAAGGGGAGTGATTGGTAGATGGGTAACAATAACAAATAAGACATTGAATATCTCTTTAAGCATGGTCAAGTTAATTATTATGCTGTGGATTATATATTAAACCACCCAGACACATCAAAGATAGTCATCCTTTTGAAACGAGCTGCAGGACAGGAATGAAACTGCTAAGGGATGTTACCATGAGGCCATTGATGATTTTAAAACAACTGCAGAGTTCAATGGCTGTGATGGGAGAAAACTGAGGATGGATCAACAACATTGTAGACACTCCACAATAATGACCTAAATGACAGAGTGAAAAGAAGAATACAAATATACAGGAAAATAATATTTCAAAACATGCATCCTGTATGCAACAAGGCACTAAAGTAATACTGAAGAAAAAAAACTCAGCAAAGGAATACACTTTTTGGTCTAAATGCAAAGCCTTATGTTTGGGCCAAATCCAACACAACAGATCACTGAGTAACTGCCTCCTTATTTTCAAGCATGGTGGTGGCTGCATCATGGTATGGGTATGCTTGACATTGGCAAATACTGGGGAGTTTTTCAGGATTAAAAGAAACAGTAAATCACAGGCAAAATCCTAGAGGGAAACCTGCTTCAGTCTGCTTTACACCAGAGACAAAATCTACACTGGAGTTGCTTACCAAGAAGACAATGAATGTTTTTGAGTGGCCAAGTTACAGTTTTGACTGAAATCTGCTTGAAAATCTATGGCAAGACTTGAAAATTGCTGTCTAGCCATGATCCCCAACATCTTGACAGAGCTTGAAGAATTTTGAAAATAATAATGGGTAAATATTGCACAATCCAGATGTGTGAAGCTCTTATAGACTTACCCAAGAAGACACACGGCTGTAATCGATGTCAAAAGTGTTTCTAACATGTATTGACTCAGGGAGATGAATACTTATGCAACAACTATATTTTAGGTATTTAATTTGTATTAACCTAAAAAAATATAGAGTACCAGTCAAAAGTTTGGACACACCTACTCATTCAAGGGTTTTTCTTTATTTTTACTATTTTTTACATTGTAGAATAAAAGTGAAGACATCAAAACTATGAAATAACACATATGGAATCATGTAGTAACCAAAAAAGTGTTTTATATTTTATATTTGAGATTCTTCAAATAGCCACCCTTTGCCTTGATGACAGCTTTGCACACTCTTGGCATTCTCTCAACCAGCTTCACCTGGAATGCTTTTCCAACAGTCTTGAAGGAGTTCCCACATATGCTGAGCACTTGTTGGCTGCTTTTCCTTCACTCTGTGGTCCGACTCATCCCAAACCATCTCAATTGGGTTGAGGTCGGGGGATTATGGAGGCTAGTTCATCTGATGCAGCACTCCATCACTCTCCTTCTTGGTAAAATAGCCCTTACACAGCCCGGAGGTGTGTTGGGTCATTGTCCTGTTGAAAAACAAATGATAGTCCCACTAAGCCCAAACCAGATGGGATGGCGTATCGCTGCAGAATGCTGTGGTAGCCATGCTGGTTAAGTGTGCCTTGAATTCTAAATAAATCACAGACAGTGTCACCAGCAAAGCACCCCCACACCATAACGCCTCCTCCTCCATGCTTTACGGTGGGCAATACACATGCAGAGATCATCCGTACACCCACACAGCGTCTCACAAAGACACGGCGGTTGGAGCTAAAAATCTCCAATTTGGACTCCAGACCAAAGGACACATTTCCACGGGTCTAATGTCCATTGCTCGTGTTTCTTGGCCCAAGCAAGTCTCTTCTTATTATTGGTGTCCTTTAGTAGTGGTTTCTTTGCAGCAATTCGACCATGAAGGCCTGATTCACACAGTCTTCTCTGAACAGTTGATGTTGAGATGTGTCTGTTACTCTGTGAAGCATTTATTTGGGCTGCAATTTCTGACGCTGGTAACTAATGAACTTATCCTCTGCAGCAGAGGTAACTCTGGGTCTTCCATTCCTGTGTTGGTCCTCATGAGAGCCAGTTTCATCATAGCACTTGATGATTTTTGCGACTGCACTTGAAGAAACTTTCAAAGTTCTTGACATTTTCCGTATTGACTGACCTTCATGTCTTAAAGTAATGATGGACTGAAGTTTCTCTTTGCTTATTTGAGCTGTTCTTGCCATAATATGGACTTGGTATTTTACCAAATAGGGCTATCTTCTGTATCTTGTCACAACACAACTGATTGGCTCAAATGCATTAAGAAGGAAAGAAATTCCACAAATGAACTTTTAAGAAGGCACACCTGTTAATTGAAATGCATTCCAGGTGACTACCTCATGAAGCTGGTTGAGAGAATGCCAAGAGTGTGCAAAGCTGTCATCAAGGCAAAGGGTGGCTATTTGAAGAATCTCAAATATAAAATATATTTAGATTTGTTTAACACTTTTTTGGTTACCACATGATTCCATATGTGTTGTTTCATAGTTTGGATGTCTTCACTATTATTCTACAATGTAAAAAATAAAGAGAAACCCTTGAATGAGTAGGTGTGTCCAAACTTTTGACTGGTACTGTGTATATATTCTACTTTGAAAGAGTATTTTGCGTATATTGTTGATAAAAACAGACAATTAAATCCATTTTAATCCCTCTTTGTAACACAATAAAATGTGAAGAAATCCAAGGGGTCTGAATACTTTTGCAAGGCACTGTACAGTATGCTGTACATCCAACATTTGCCAATGGTGCACAGATGTACAGAAAACTGCCCAAAACAGGGTTTACCTCTGAGCTAAACATGAAATAGTCATAGAAAAGAAAAGCCTGTACATGTACCACAATACATGACCACATTTGCAACTACAATAGGCTTCATCAGATCAACCTCAAGTCAACCTCAACACTGTCGAGGTAGGAGTGGTGAAGGCCAACCTGGATGGACTGAGATAATAAAGCATATAGCTTAGTGTAGTACATCCATTTGGCTTCTGGCTCTGTCCATTACATCATACCCTCTCCCCATTTCTCTTGTTTTGGAACCCAGCAGCTTTCTCATCTGTAAGATATAACATGCCGGTTAAAGTTGAAAGGAGAAGATCAAGTGAGATACTCACTCTCTCCTTGCTTTTATGTCACATGACATATAGCCAGTAGATGTCAACAGATTTCTTGCTCAATCTATGGAGGTGGAATTTAAATGGTGATCATTGTTTGTCTGTTTGTCAAAGGTTGGGATGTGGACCAGGTGACCTCAGATGGGATCAATCCTGACGTCCTCATCTCGCTCACGGCACCAAAGAAGTGCGCCACCAGTTTCTCGGGGAAGCACTTCTTAGCAGGACGCTTCCTGCCTTATGACATCCAGAAGAAATACGATCTGAACCTGCCAGAATACCCAGGCACAGACTGTCTTATAGAACTGTAACATCTACAGTACACCCTCCTGTCCTAATTTTGGATAAATATGGATAATATATTTACATGTTTTGTATTTTATAGATTGTTACTGTGCTTTATTGTTCATGTGCCATCTCTCCAATTGGTGTATACTAAAGGAGGTTGCGCCTTAGCCAGAATCCACTCAAGTACAATAGAAAGATGAATCTGTGGTTGGTCTGAGTTGTATGTCTGTTTTGGAAATGGTTTGAGGAGTTTCCATGTGAGTTTCCATGTGAGTTTCCATGTGAGTTGTGACATTCTCCTTTTTGTGATTTCTTCTTAGCAAAGTTCCAAGATGTTCTTTCTCCCTCAGTAAAAACTGATGAATGCAACAGGTATTATGTACCCTAGACTTAACTGCTATTTTTGTTATGTATTGTTATGTTTTGAGGGTTTTTTTCTTATTGAAGAATGCTTGGTTTTTTGGTTATAGAACTGTACCTTCCATCAGCTGTTGTTTTTATTTTTTATTTTATTCAGTCTACACTACTGCATTTCCTTAGTCCAAGTAACACCTGTTCATTGATTGGCAGTTGTAGAGTTAACTCTTTGTCCAATAAAATATATAATTTAGTCGTTAGTTGTTTTGATTCCTATGTAATTCGATGTAAGAAAAGTAGGAAAGGTGACAGTTGACAAGATTAAAGGTAATCATGACAGTAAGGGCTCTATTCAATCTGCATCGTGGAAGTTCAGCTTTTTCAGTGTGATTGAAATTTGAAAGTAATGTTCCCGCTGTAGCGGAGACTACATTCACGGTAAACACTGCATATGTGGGCTCAATTGTAAATTACCTTTATATTTCTTGATAATAATTTTTGTAACCCTTTTTCTCCCAAATTGGTAGTTACAGTCTTGTCCCATCGCTGCAACTCCCCTACGGACTCGGGAGAGGCGAAGGTCGAGAGCCATGCGTCCTCCGAAACACGACCCTGTCAAGCCGCACTGCTCGCTTAACCCGGAAGCCAGCCGCACCAATGTGTCGGAGGAAACACCGTCCAGCTGGCGACCGAAGTCAGCTTGCAGGCGCCCGGCCCGCCACAAGGAGTCGCTAGAGCGCGATGGGACAATGAAATCCCGGCCGGCAAAAACCCTCCCCTTACCCGGACGACGCTGGGCCAATTGTGCACCGCCTCATGGGTCTCCTGGTCACTGCCGGCTGTGACACAGCCTGGGATCGAACCCGGATCTGTAGTGACGCCTCAAGCACTGCGATGCAGTGCCTTAGACCGCTGTGCCACTCGGGAGGCCCTTACCTTTATATTTCTGTTGTGGAATCTGTAACACTTCAGCATTACAGATTGAATAGAGCCCTAAATCTCCCACAGGAGTTAAAACTTTGTAGAATCTACACTGTGTTGGTGGATGAAACTGCCAGTATGCTTCATAACTATAGAGATCACACAGTAGACTATGCAAATCCATGGATATATACAAAGAAATGTCAATAGAAAACAAATCAAACGAAACGAAATACAGCTAGTTTGCAGTCTTTCCAGCTTCAGTTTGAAGTGATTGTGTTAGCTGTGTTGTTGGCTAGCTCCTCTGAACAAAAGTGTCCTGACGAGAGAGCACATTTTCTATGCCAGGTGAAATTGCGCATCATTGACTCATTGTTATCTATGTATCCAAATAAATGTAACTAGAAAACAGCTTAAAGAAATGCAGCTACTTTGCTGTTATTCTGGCTGCACTGTTTGACGGGGCTGTAAGTTAGCCGTAGTTGGCTAGGTAGCAAGCAAGGGATAAGAACGTTGCCAGCCAGTATGGCAATAGAACATTTAGAACGAATGACTGGGTCGCATCCATAGATACAGAACAAAAAAACTGGGTCGCGTCTCTGGCAACCGAACCGATAGAACGAACGACCAGCTGGCTTGGGTAGCAACCCCAGCTTTGTGTCGGGACTATATCTCGTGGAAGGAATAGTATGAATAAAATCATCAAAATAAATGTTTTAATGAAAATATGTCAACCATTATTTGAATATGTTGATAACCCGTTGTATAAAAGTGATAGTGCCCTCGAAGCTGGTGTTTGGAGGATATATTGGCACAGTTTGCCGGCCCTCCACAAACAACACCCGTGCCAATGCAGTGCATTCGGAAAGTATTCAGACCCCTTGATGTTTAACACATTTTGTTATGTTACAGCCTTATTCTAAAATGGATTCAATAGTTTTTTCCCTCTCGTCAATCTACACACAACACCCCATAATGACAAAGCAAAAACTGTTTTTTAGGCATTTTAGCAAATTTATAAAAAATAAAAAAAACTTAAATATTACATTTACGTAAGTATTCAGACCCTTTACTCAGTACTTTGTTGAAGCACCTTTGGCAGCGATTTCAGCCTCGAGTCTTCTTGGGTATGACGCTACAAGTTTGGCACACCTGTATTTGGGGAGTTTCTCCCATACTTCTTCTTCTCTGAATGATGGCGCCGGAGAAGATGGCTACCGTTTTACAGCCCTCTAACCAATTGTACTATTATGTGTGTTTTTTCGCGTTATTTGTAATTTATTCTGTACATAATGTTTCTGCCATCGTCTCATAACCAAAAAGAGCTTCTGCATATCAGGACAGCGATTACTCACCTCGTATTGGACGAAGATGTTTTCTTCAACGAGGCGGCCGCGAAGGATATCCTACAGACACCCGACAAGGCCCAAATCCCCGTCATTCGCAGGAGAAAGAGACGGAGATATCGTGGACGTAGGTCGGGGTGCCTCGTAAGGATCCGACGGCGAGCGAATAAACTGCCTCTTCCATCAATCCTACTAGCCAATCTTCAATCATTGGAAAATAAATTAGATGACCTAAGATTACGCTTATCCTACCAACGGGACATTAAAAACTGTAATATCTTATGTTTCACGAGTCGTGACTGAACAACGACATGGACAAAATACAGCTAGCGGGCTATACGCTACATCGGCAGGATAGAACGGCTGACTCCGGTAAGACAAGGGGTGGCGGTCTGTGTATATTTGTAAACAACAGCTGGTGCACAAAATCAAATACTAAGGAAGTCTCAAGGTTTTGCTCGCCTGAGGTAGAGTACCTTATGATAAGCTGTAGACCACACTATTTACCAAGAGAGTTTTCATCTATATTTTTCATAGCTGTCTATTTACCACCACAAACCAATGCTGGCATTAAGATTGCACTCAATGAGCTGTATAAGGCCATAACTAAACAGGAAAACGCTCATCCAGAGGCAGCGCTCCTAGTGGCCGGGGACTTTAATGCAGGGAAACTTAAATCCATTCTACCTCATTTCTACCAGCATGTTAAATGTGCAACCAGAGGGGAAAAAAAACTCTAGACCACCTTTACTCCACACACAGAGACGCATACAAAGCTCTCCCTCGCCCTCCATTTGGCAAATCTGATCATAACTCTATCCTGCTTATAAGCAAAAACTAAAGCAGGAAGCACCAGTGACTCGGTTAATAAAAAAGTGGTCAGATGATGCAGATGCTAAGCTACAGGACTGTTTTGCTAGCACAGACTGGAACATGTTCCAGGATTCTTCAGATAGCATTGAGGAGTACACCACATCAGTCACTGGCTTCATCAATAAGTGCATCGATGACGTCGTCCCCACAGTGACCGTACGTACATACCCCAACCAGAAGCCATGGATTACAGGCAACATCCGCACTGAGCTAAAGGGTAGAGCTGCCGCTTTCAAGGAGCGGGACTCTAACCCGGACGCTTATAAGAAATCCCGCTATGCCCTCCGACGAACCATCAAACAGGCAAAGAGTCAATACAGGACTAAGATTGAATCATACTACACCGGCTCTGACGCTCGTCGGATGTGGCAGGGCTTGAAAACTATTACAGACTACAAAGGGAAGCACAACCGCGAGCTGCCCAGTGACACAAGCCTACCAGACGAGCTAAAGCACTTCTATGCTCGCTTCGAGGCAAGCAAAACTGAAGCATGCATTAGAGCACCAGCTGTTCCGGATTACTATGTGATCACGCTCTCCGTAGCCGATGTGAGTAAGACTTTTAAGTAGGTCAACATTCACAAGGCCGCAGGGCCAGACGGATTACCAGGACATGTACTCCGAGCATGTGCTGACCAACCGACATTTTCAACATGTCCCTGACTGAGTCTGTAATACCAACATGTTTCAAGCAGACCGCCATAGTCTCCGTGCCCAAGGACACTAAGATAACCTGCCTAAATGACTACCCGTCTGTAGCCATGAAGTGCTTTGAAAGGCTGGTCATGGCTCACATCAACACCATTATCCCAGCAACCCTAGACCCACTCCAATTTGCATACCGCCCCAACAGATCCACAGATGATGCAATCTCTATTGCACTCCACACTACCCTTTCCCACCTGGACAAGAGGAACACCTACATGTGAATGCTATTCATTGACTACAGCTCAGCGTTCAACACCATAGTGCCCTCAAAGCTCATCACTAAGATAAGGATCCTGGGACTAAACACCTCCCTCTGCAACTGGATCCTGGACTTCCTGATGGGCCGCCCCCAGGTGGTAAGGGTAGGTAACAACACATCTGCCACGCTGATCCTCAACACGGGGGCCCCTCAGGGGTGCGTGCTCAGTCCCCTCCTGTACTCCCTGTTCACCCATGACTGCATGGCCAGGCACGACTCCAACACTATCATTAAGTTTGCCGACGACACAACAGTGGTAGGCCTGATCACCGACAACGATGAGACAGCCTATAGGGAGGAGGTCAGAGACCTGGCCATGTGCTGCCAGGATAACAACCTCTCCCTCAACGTGACCAAGACAAAGGAGATGATTGTGGACTACAGGAAAAAAAAGAGGACTGAGCACGCCCCCATTCTCATCGACGGGGCTGTAGTGGAACAGGTTGAGAGCTTCAAGTTCCTTGGTGTCCACATCACCAACAAACTATCATGGTCCAAACACACCAAGACAGTCGTGAAGAGGGGACGACAAAGCCTATTCCCCCTCAGGAGACTGAAATGATTTGGCATGGGTCCTTAGATCCTCAAAAAGTTCTACAGCTGCACCATCGAGAGCATCCTGACTGGTTGCATCACCGCCTGGTATGGCAACTGCTCAGCCTCCAACCACAAGGCACTACAGAGGGTAGTGCGTATGGCCCAGTACATCACTGGGGCCAAGCTTCCTGCCATCTAGGACCTCTATACCAGGCGGTGTCAGAGGAAGGCCCTCAAAATTGTCAAAGACTCCAGCCACCCTAGTCATAGACTGTTCTCTCTGCTACCGCACGGCAAGCAGTACCGGAGCGCCAAGTCTAGGTCCAAAAGGCTTCTCAACAGCTTCTACCCCCAAGCCATAAGACTCCTGAACAGCTAATCATGGCTACCTGGACTATTTGCACCCCCACCCCATCTTTTTACGCTGCTGCTACTCTACTCTGTTAATCATTTATGCATAGTCACTTTAACTCTACCCACATGTACATATTACCTCAACTACCTCAACTAGCCGGTGCCCCCGCACATTGACTCTGCACCGGTACCCCCCTGTATATAGCCTCCATACTGTTATTTTATTTTACTTTTTTTCTCAACAATTTTTTGTTGTTGTTTTATTTTACTTTTTTATTAAAAATAAATGCATTGTTGGTTAAGGGCT